TGACAGCGTTACTCAGCCTGGGTTTTATGTCGCTTAAACCGAGGCTGCTGTTGCCGCCCGTTTGCATTAAACCGACATCTCGTGATGGAGGCAGGCCGGTTGGGACTTGAGGTTGCTTTTATGAGACTTTATATGAGGCTTTAAAGTCAAACACACTCCCTGATTAAACCCTAACTTTCCACGCTCCATCACCTCTACCTTTTTTATTTCATTTAATTAGATTTTTTTAAATTGAAGTATTCAATTGGGGAAAAAAAGTTGTATAAAGGGACTTTTAACCAAAATAATCATGATTATGATTTTTTGAGAGTGGCTGCACCGCCCCACAGTTTGAGATCCAGTCCCCCGTCGCCTGGGTCTTTTGCCAGGTTGTTACTGTAGCAGTCTTCTAGATCATTCAGCTGCTTCCTTAGAGAGGATCTCGTCCCATGGTTGGATGCACTTCAACTCCAGCGCTGCAGCCGGCGTCAGTCGTCCTCCTCCTGCTCTGCTCTCCACTGTGGACTAGTTAACAGAATCTTCTGCAGGTGGAGATTAGGTTCAGAGAATGCAGGCTTAAGGCACACTTCTGAATTGGCTTTGCAGTCTAATAGTCAATTTCGCTTTGGAAGGTTCCTAACTGGGTGAAGTGATCCGGAAGTGTCTGCGTGGCAGTCGTAAAAGCTGGGTGAAGTCTCCTGGATAAGTTATGGATGGAGGGAATTTGACTTTGGTCATGGGAATCTTAAAGGAAAGGAGTTACATTGGATCATCTCTCGAGCTAGAAAGAATAAGAACACATTACTTTGTAGGTTGTGTGCTGGACACACTGGTAAGGGGATTCATGTGAGAACAGTTGGATTCTCTGATAACCGAGTTTCTCTTTTCCTGAGTTTTCAAAAATTCTCCTTCCTTCCTTTCCGTAACCTCGTGACAGTTTCCTTTGAGATATGTGAGAACTTAGAGTGTCATTTTTGAACTATTTGCCCGTGCTCCATGTTTCAGGCACACAGACTTGACTTTAAACACAACAGTCCCACCTACCTGCTGTTTAAGCTTAGTGGCAGCCAATCAGAAGAAAGTTGCATTTAAAAAAAAAGAGGTTAAAATTGCTTAAACGGTTAAGATTATTAAACTCTATGAATGTTGCAGGTTTCAAACACAACATATTGATCTAAACATGAGCATTAAACTACATACAATAAAACATATGCAGTAATTCTAAGGTGTAAGTTTGCTTTTTCCCCCTTTTTCTATTAATTACAGTGTTTCTCTGCAGCGCTGCTGTGATTTATCACTGACATTGGAACACTGGAATCTTTTTCCCGCCTCTGTTTTGACATCTGTTCAATAGTCAGCAAAGTTACAAACTTCTACAAGGACGACTTAAAAATTGATCGGGAAGAGAGCGGCCGGGTCTGCCCGAAACAAACACGTCGTTATTGTGTAGCTGCGCTCGTTTACTCGTCACACGAAAGGCTGAAAAGATTGCAATTTTCATAGCAAAATGTTTCCGCTAATGAGACCGTTCACTCCAATTTGAGGTGTTTCTGATTCAGACTATGAGAGGGTTATTTGCAACTGAAGCTTAACTCACTTCTGAGCTCCACCAAACAACACACTAGTGGGTTTGACAGCTAAAGCAAATTAGCCTTGGCAGCACACCTCTGATATCTTATTGGCAGGCTGCACTCTGTAATTGCTTGCTTAGATTTGGACTAGGACATTGCTCTGTGTGCGTGTGCGAGTGTGCATGTGTGGATTACATCCACGCACACACACACACTGCTGTGCATGTTCTAATCCATCACTTAAATGTCAAATATCTCTCCAGTCAGGGTCAAAGTTGATTAGAGGTCCAGAGGTTTGTCTCCTACTGAGCTTCACTTTAAGGACTTTCCAACTCAAGGTTGATCCCAATTTGGTGACCTGACGTTTAAAAACAAATAAATAAATAAAAAAGGCAGGGGTGGCAATTTAAACAAATGTATCTTTTATTTCACTGAATTGTATTGTTGCTTTTCCTGGAGCAAAAACGAGCAAATTAATATATTTTCAGGGTAATTTATGTTCAGTAGCTCATTAGTAGCCAAAGGGATGTTGACCTAAATAGAGCCGACTGACTTGAAAGCTGGAACTGAGCAATGGCTGCCCATAAGGACCAAAGGTTATACCAAAGTGGGTCAGGCTGTCGTGATAGAGACAAGAATAAGGTCAGGAAATGGAAAGGAGGGTCACGCGAAAAGGTAGGCCGAAGATGAGGAGACGGGAGTGACCCAGGACAAGCTGACCTAGAAGGAGAAGACAGTGCAAGATGCAGGGGTGGGAGCTGATGGTGTCTTGATGCGGCGGAGACCGGAGGCTAGCATCAGACAGCAGTAATGGAGAGCTGTGGCCCCCAGGCGATGAGCTTCCTGTCTCCTCTCACAGCGGAAGAGCTGGGTGTGTTGCAAGAATCTCACTGTTAGGGAAAAAGGATGAAACGGAGTCCGGCTTTTTCTTTATGTTCAGTGTTTGTTCAATGAGAGCACGTTTCACTGTACAGCTTTGAAAAGAAGCCATTTGAAACATTTATATGTGCATTTATATTTTATACGGTAGTTTTAGGTTAAAATTGAAAGTTGAAAGAAATTAGTGAATGAAATATTTGTGATTCAGGCTGCTGAGAAAAGCAGAGAAACGTATAAAGTACAGAGAAGCTTCATTGCCGCTTTATTCTCGGACCTCTAATCACTGCAGATTATCTAATAAAGGAGGCCTGTTATGCTCATTTCCAGTTTCCCAGTTTTATTGTTGGACTTGGACAGCTTTGCATGATTCACAAATGCAATTTACAATATTTTATTAAAAATAATCCTTCATCTTATGCTGGGCCTTGATTCAAGAAGTCGATTCATCAACTCTCTGAAGCAAGCTGGTGCAGCTCCTGTTTGCCCTCCCAATAGACTAGCTTAGTTTTGATTGGCTGCCCTTTATAAACAAAAGATTTGGGTTGCTGTGCGCCAGAGATGACCATTTCATGGATCTCATCGATGATGTACGGACCCAGGAGCGAACAAAGCTGACTGTTTAGAGCAGTCTGAATCCAGAACACCTTCTTCACCAAAAGCTTTGTTATCATCTTAAAAGCATTAATATCAGCAGAAAGAAAACAGAGAAGAAACTCTCAATAACCAGCCAAACACTGAATGTTATCCATGAGTCAGTTACACAAAAGGACTACAGAGCTCTAAAAGGTCTCCGAATTTTGTCGAATATTCTTTCAGGACTTGTGTTAAGGTTTGTAGCGTGACGGGGTTTCCCCTCCCAAAACAATGCTGTGAGCTCTTTGGCGTTTAAAAAAATAATTGAATTAACTGAAATAAGTCCTCACGTCACTCATACTTAAATATTTCTACTTTTATCTTCGACCAGTGCCGGTTTAAGTCAAAGGCACTGGTGTTGCTGAGCCGGCCAGCACCTTCGTTCTCTTCAACCCTTCATCAGATTGCTGATTTAACCGCTCCTGTTGTTTTTGCCGCCTCTCTCATAAGTTTACTTTGTTTTTTCAGTCGAATTAAGGCCTCGTCTTATTTTAGATTTCCAGTTAGAAACTACCAAACGAACTGCAAATCTTTAATCTGCTTGATTTTTAATGGAAAAAGTTGAACAGGCCTTGCATGACCATAAAAGTGGTCGTCAGTGAAGTGTCCAGGTGCTTTTCAGCCTTAAGAAAAATGGAGAGTGTGTCTAAAATTGGCTGTAATTTCTGCAATACTTTCCTTGAGCTCCTTGCATTAAAGAGGCACTTCAATCACATCTTGATTGCCTGGGTTAAAATGGTGGTGTGCACCAAGGCGCCTTCACCCAAAAACTATGGACCTAAGTGTATGTTGATGTGGTTTTTACAAAACCTCTCAGCTTTAGATGCTTTGAGAAGTGTTGGGCTTCATCTTTAATGTAAGCATTCACTGCGTATGTATGCGATGGATGTAAGCCAACGCATAACAGGAATTTGCAATTTACTTTAGTTTGCAAATAGAAATTAAAAAATAACATTGAGCAGTGACGACTCTTTAAGCAAATAGAATTCCACTTGCATGATCTCCTATAAAGAATTTCCTGACCGTGAGATTGAATAAGATGAGCTCAAATAATGCAAGCTTTCAGCCTGTTACATTACATAATTTATTAAATAGTTTGTAAATTAAGCTTTTATATAAATTTAATTCCAGCTTCATTTTCTGTTCAGTGCAGCTTTGCTAGAAGAGACCCTGAGATTTCTTTCTGTCAGAGAGTCATTTTAAATTAAAGCTGCTCTTTTCATGTGGTGCAAATGGTCTCCCCCCTTTTTTCCCCGGTTGCCTAAAATCACTCAGTTTCCTTACGTTCGGAGTCCAAAGTGGCCGCTCCAGTTTCCCCCAACGAAAGCAAAACTTTGTCAGAAGTAGTTGGCGATTACACATCTGAAGCTTACACAAGCATGCACATATGAAACAAGAACATTATTTCCCTAAAAAGAGAAAAATAGGCTTTAAAAATGGTGCGCTTGCCCCTTTTTTGGAGCGGGCAGCCTGTCGCCGCCTCTTCAGAGGGCCTGTTAAAGGTATTTTAGATCAAAGTCAAAGGCGAATAAAGACCTCGGCTCCACACTTTACTTCAATTTCCCCCACCTTACTGGAGCATTGTGCCTCTGCTGTTGAAGTGAATAAGGGATGGCTCTTTGTGCCGCTTCACACGGCGACGCATTCCTCTTTGACCTACTCTATCTCTTCTTATTCCCCCCATCTCTTGCCTTTTTTTCCGTTTCATCTCTCACTGTCACTCCCCTCTTTGCCTTCCCGCTCTTCCTCCTATTGGATGTGAAATTAGCTCACACTACACCTTTTCAATCGTCTCCTATCCACCACATTCTTTCTGGCATCCCCGGTTTTACTCAGCTCTCAAACGGTATACGTGATAGATTTTGAGCCTTTTACCACACGTGTGCACATGTACAGTGCTGAGGTGCAGGATGAAACCTGACTGAGCTCTGGTCTTTGTTCCCCTCCCCTCGTCCCCCTGCTTTTCCCACCTCAGTTCTCCACGCTCTCATGAGCTGCAGCAGAGCCTTTTCATTAAGAAGCTCTGTGATTATTTTTAATGTGGAGTCTGCATTAGGCAGTGTCCCTTCCCTCCTAATGAAGCTCTGTCCTGGGCCTCGGATACACAGTGATATCAAAAAGTTCTTTGAGTGTGCAACAATTCAAATCAGTTTCTTCTTTCTTGTATTAAAGATTTACATATTTAAGAGGAGTTTGAGTGACAAGTAAAGTTAAAATAAAGAGTTACGAGGAAAATCGATTAAACGTGAAGGCGGCAACATTATGCTGTTGTTGTAGTTTGAAGTTAGCACTCCTACTTCTTATGCTTCTACCATCATCAAGTCAAATAATAAAATAAATAACAATACACA